AATAATGTTATCCAACTTCATATGCATTATGCGACACCACCGTCTGTGGGGTGGGGGGTGGGGTGGGCGGGTGTAGTTGATGATACACCTTGATACACGCATGTGTTACACATAAAACACACGCGCAGTCAACAAATCCGTGTGACAGAAAAGCACAGCTCCGTCAGGTGTGTGGTGACGGCATTATCACCACGATGATTTCACACAGACACATTTCTAAACATCAACTCGCCTAGAACTCACCAGCAGACACTGTTGATAAATTTCACTTTTAATAATCACTTCCGGAATTTAAAAAAAAAAAAACTTGTTTAAACTCCAATGATAATTAAAGTTGAAGAAAACATTGGAAGTTTGGAAGCGCAAACCACTCAATCTCCCACCGCCTTTTTTTTTCCCCCTCCCCGCTGGCTCACTCACGTTGACTATCACTGCGCCAACAGTAGGCGGAGACACTAGCGCGAGGCGAGCCTGTGGGATCGTTGGCGTCGGAAATAACGGCGCGCGGAGGCCATGATTGCACTCAATTAGGTGAATTCGTGAGTGTGTTCGTCTGTGTGCGTTTGTTTGTTTGTTAGTAAGCGTCTGTCTATTGTTTGTATGCATGTGTCACTTGTGGTGGGTCAGGCCGTTGTTGGTATATCACTTCGTGGGAACGATCTACAATGTCAAAGCCGTCAATGGAGAAAGTTCACTCTCTTGAAGGCCCTCAATACAAATAATTATAGAATTTTACCCCAGTGAAAAAAAAATATTATCCAAAGAAATATTAGATATGAAATGTATCCGACATGCGGTCATGGAATAGGCCTATCATACTATGTAATGTCATGCTCAGTCATGTCAATGAGCTGTCAGGTCATGCAGTGATTATTTCAGAAATTTTCCCTGAGGAGGTGGTCAGTACCAGTTGATTTATTGTTGGACGTATTTTTGCTCCGGGGGGGGGGGGGCGCAGTGCTCTCCCGGAGATATAGCTGAAAGAAACCCTGATGTCATGATACGTCACGGGGCGCTATTTCATGCTCTGTCATGTCATGTTATGTTCAGTCATTAAAAGGATCTGTTATGTCACCTATTGATATGTAACGGAATGTTACTTCAACTTCATACTGTCATTTCATGTCATGCTCAGTCATGTCAGTGATCTGTCATGTCATGTCTTGATATGTCACGGAATGCTATTTCATGCTGTGTCATGTTACGATAGGTCATGTCATGCTCTGTCATTTCATTTCTTGGTCATCTTCGCATGAGAAAGGCAAACACAATAAGGGTGGGAAATCTACGGCCTGCGGGCAAAATGTGGCCTACTGAAACTGGCAACATACATTTCCAAGGGGGATCAAAAAAGTTACTAACTGTGTTATATCCCTTGCTATTGCGTTCTGTCCCTTTGCAATAGTCTCCCATATGGTAAAAATTCAAACACTTGGGAAAAAAATTGTTTTGTGTCTTAATTATAACTGACTAGATATAGCCCGCCAAACATTGGCGACAGCAATGTTTGAACTTGCCCTCTACTAAAAGTTACTTGACAAAACATGATCTCAAGTAACGAGCATTTAAGAATCCCAATTTTTGCTACACCTTTTCCCCCCATGATCTCTATTAAATATTCTGATGCCCCCAACCAGTTTTAAACCCAATATTTTTTTACACCACACTTAAATTGAAACGATTACGTTTTCCGAGAAATTTATATTACGCGCCAAACGCAGATGCGTTATTTAAAAAATAATAAAATCATTTAGCGTAGTAATCTGGAATTATATTTTGCGCGCCATTAAACTCATCATTGAACCATACTTTCTTTCAAAGATATAGAATTACGTGTAATATGCTCTCAATACCAAACACGCTGAATAGCAAGCAGCCAGAAATGGAAGCAGTCCATGAGTCACACCAGAAGCGTAATATAGATAAGAGATAGTAATAGTAATAGCCTTTGAAAAATAATCAGAGTTTAAAATGTTCAAATTGTAGTAATAATCACATAATTTTTTTAAAAGAATCATCACACTGCTTATTTTTGAACTGAGCTCTTCAATAATTAAAAAAAAAACAAAAAAACACTTTGATTCGGCCCTCTGCACAAAAAGTTTTCCCCGCTGTCTTAGAGACGGTGGTGACGTAATATCCGGTCCTCTGGTTGAAACACTTTCCAGTATTCCTGGCAACGATCTCTGGTTTCCACTAGGATCACGCTGCTGTTTAGGATCACGCTGATGCTTGCAAACACAACCTTAGTGCCACTGCGTGAAATCAAAGTTATTCTTCAATATTCATAGTCTCCAGCGATAACTTTCCACAACAATTTATGCGACACAAGGATGAGAGAAAGTCTTGCCAACTCTAGCACACTTTCTTTATCTCTTGTTCACTCCCAAGATCCACTCACTGAAGAAACCAACACTAAAAACCCATAACAACAGACGCGTCACCTCCCGTACCCCAAAAACGTCACCAATGCAAACTACACAGCAACATCTACACATTTACTCTCCAACACCAAATACTCACAGCAAATCAAGTATTTCAAAACACACGCTTGGGAACACATCATAAACATCGCTCACGGCAACAACCGGTCATTCTCGTACTAACAAGTCCATGTATCTCATAACCTTGACAGGTGGGGCGCATGGCCGGGGGGGGGGGGAGAGCGGAGCACTTTCGTCCAGTTGCGGGGTTCTATTCTTTTAAGGGAGGCGAAAAAAAACTAACCCCCCCCC